GTACCATTGTAGAAATATGTGTTGATCTTGTGACTACGCTCCACCAATCATACTGTGCCCTCTATACTGATGCAGGTAGTTCCCTCACTTTATAGATTGGCATTCTAGTGTACAGACATATGTTTTAACTTGTTCTCTATACGACTACAAAATTCTGATTGTGCTTGATCACAAAATTATATCAATTTCAACTTCTTTAGTTTGATTTCCATTGTTTCTACTTGTTTGATTTTGAAATGTTTTTGTTGGACTGATTTTGTTTACATATAGCGGGAATTTGTTACTGACCATTGGGTTCTTCATGTCTTATCAGAAGGACTTGTCCTCCAATTACTTTCCCGACCCATGTTGTCTCTCATATCTATATCCTTTCCATTATCTCAGGATCCTATTACCATTCAACATCTGCCCAAAGTGGTCCAAACTCTTCTATCAAAGAGAGTTATCGAACCTGTCAGCTATCCTTCCCCAGGTTTTTACTCCATGCTGTTTGATCTGTCCTGCCTCAGTCAATTTCTATATCTTCCCCATTTTGCAATGGAGTCTTTTCTCACACTACAATGGGCTTTCTCTCCAGGATTGTGAGTGACTAAGGTGGACGTTTCAAATGCCTATCTACACATTCTTATTTCTCATTGGTGCAGATGCTATCTTCGGTTTGTATATCATGAGGTTGTATACCAGTTTTGTGCCTTGGCCTTTGGGCTTGCTTCAGCTCCATATGTCTTTTGCCGGGTGGTCAAAGCCTATATCCGATTTATAAATGCATGGGGTTGCGGTTACACCACTACATGGATGACTGGCTTCTGTTAGCTCATTCTGAAATGGAGTCTTCCCATCACACTCGTCTCCTTCTTTCAGAATCTGCTTGAGTGGGTTGGATTATCAAGTCTTTCCTGTCCCCTACCCAATATTTTGTCCACTTGAGGTCATTTTCTACTCCCACTTCAGTCGGGCCCAACCTTCTCCTCTTCAACTGCATTTGATGGAGCTTTCAGTTCTTTACACCCTTACTGCTCCCTATCTTCTGCATGTGAGGTTCTTCTGCTTTTGGGTACATGGGCTTCTACGGAAGCTGTTATCCTCTTTGGTCAGGCACACATGTGGTCTCTTCATTTGACTCTGTACAACCAATGGAATCTCACTTTGGGAATCCTTGGATTCTCCCATTTCCCTTCTTCCTTTTCTTGTTGTCGATCTGCATTGGTGGTTGAACAAGACCCACACATCATTGGGTGTACCACTTCCTCTTCCTTGCTTGGATTTGCATCTCTTCATTGATGCTTACCTACTTGGTTAGGGGACATGGGTCAATCAACAGAAGGCTGTTAGACTATGGTCTTCAACCAAATGGACTTCCCATATCAATATCTTGGAGCTTCTGGCAGTATAATGGGCTTTGGATTGATTTCTTCCTCTAATCAGGAATTGAATAGTCATGATCCATTCTATTAATTCTACAGTAGTGGCTTATATCAATCATCAAGGTGACATCTATTTTCTTCCCTTTGTGGCTGAACTGTGGATCTACATTTTTGGGCTCACACGCTTGGTATACATCTCCTGGCATGTCATGTTCTGGGTGCTTTGAGCCTCATGACAGATTTATCTCACAGAGTGATTCCTCAATTCTCATGTTTTCCGGTGGCTATGCTCACAGTGGGTTATGCCTCAACTGGATGCATTTGCCACCTTTCTCATTGCCAAGTTACCTCTTTTTTTTTTGGTCTCAGGTTCCTCATCCACAAGCCCTAGCTGTCAATCCATTTAACCAGGATTGGACTGACCGATACCTTTATGTTTATCCTCCCATTTGTCTTCTTACCAGGGTAATTTCGATCATCCATGCCATTCTGTGTCAAGTTCTTGTTATTGCACCTTACTGGCCAGCACAACCCTGATTTCCTTAACTATTTCAACTCCGTATTGCCTCTCTGTCCTTCCTTGTCATCTTCTTCCCAAAATCTGTTCCAGGTGTAACATTAAAACAGGCATCTTACCTTCTCCCTGGCATCACACCTCCATCATCGATTGGAAGAAATTCTTCAAGTGGGCATGTGGACTGCTCCTCTTACATTCATCTCCCACTATTCGCATCAGATGGCTGTTTCTTCCTCATTGGGATATTGTCTTCTGCCTGTTGCCATCCTTCAAACTTTGATGAGACTGTGACTGGGTAAGTTCTCTTTTTTATATACATTTTACTTTCTCTTAGGGTCATATCTCTTTTTTTTTTACTGTTAGGATCCCACTCTGTGGCATGTGTTGCCTGTCTAGGTATACTTAATACATCACAAACCCACACTGTATGGCCATGTTACTACCATACAGTACAAATTCCCATGGCATATACTTCACCCTGTTGAAATGTGTTGTTCCACAAGATTGCTTGTTTTTCCCTCATAAGGTATTTGCTTCATAACTATGCCCGTTACAGACCATACTAACCAATGGACTTACATGGGTAAATCAGAAGAGGATAGCTGCCCATCCCTGCTGTCCCTTAGATCGAATAAATCAGGGGTGGTCTGCTTTTCAAAATAATGTTTTTGTGGTCACCCGTTGCACTGTCTCTGGTGTTGGCATTCTTCCAGACCCTCCACCTTGTTTTATCCTCCCTGGTTCTTCAAGTGAAGTATGGGAGTCCTTGCCACTTTCCAGGTTCAAGCTATTGGGGTGGTGGAACATAGATATATTCTCTTGAATGTGATCTTACATGAATAACTAAGTATACAACTACATTCAGGTGAGAGTAGGGTAGTGGTATTCTGGTGTAGATGATGCTTGTCCTCAGTTCCTGTACACAATCTATGTCTGGTGGGCTCTAAGGTTGATGTTACCCCCGACTTCTGTGACTATCTGGAGAGTGCAGTTGCATATGATTTTAGGGCCGATCCACTTCTGTGCAGTGGTATCCGGAAGTTTGTGATGCATACCAATCAAGTACAGTTCTGTCTGAGGAGATGATGTTGCATTGGTGTTGATTCTTCATATTGCAGTTCACCCCTGCAATTTGGATCCTTCATCCTACCGTCACATGGATGTTGGTTTTGCAGTGACTGATTTTGGATTTTGAGCTGGACCAATCATTGTAAGTCCTCACACATGTGTTGCCTGTTACTGCCATCAGTTGGATGTCTGGTTAGTTGTGAATTGTGCACATGTGCCTGTTTTGTAGATCAGTTTGTACAGTATATACTTCTATTCTATGGAATTTGAGGTGAAGATGGTGTGAACCCTCCTTCTACCACTGATTGATAGTTATATTCCCAATACTGCTTGTTTTTGGACTGGAGTTGACTAGCTGTGTATGGTCCGCTGTGCTCTAGCCACTCTACACCTTGGAGCACATCCAGTTTTGCTATCCCCCACATTACTGTCTGTAGAGGATTCATCTACAGCCCCTCTTCATCGAAATTGAGAGTATGTTCTGAGGTGGTTTGGATTCCAATCCCCCCGTTTATCTCCCTTTTAGTTGTGATCCTCCTTTTTTGTGCCTGTGTCTGCAACACCTCTTTGCACACTGGTACAGAAGTCGTGCGGTCTTCCAAGGATGATTTTATTATGATGATCATCAGTATGGAGTGTTCTTTTAACACTTTCGAAGGGTGTTTCTTTACATCCCTTGCAATTCTAGCTATATATGTGAGAGGAGGTAACGTACCATATGGGAAGTTATATTTTTTCTATAGTGAAAATATATTTCTGATAAGTACTTGCCTCCTCTCACACTTCCCACCCTTTCTTCCCCACTGAAAACTGGTGCTCCTTTTTCTGCCTAGACTTCAAGTGATAGTTTGGTAGAATCAAATAGAGGGAGCCACATGCATCAGGAGGTTGTGTCAAACTCCTGTTGGTGGAGGATTGTCGCAGAATGATTTGCATGTGAGACACAGTGGATTCACGATAATCATGGGTAAGTGAGAGTGCAAGACTTGTGACATGCAAAAACATTTTTTTCATATAGAGGGCAGCACTGAACGAAAATAGCTTTCTTCAGCTTTGCAAAGGTATTGGTGGATGTAAGGGAGTTTGCAGAAGAAATGTAATCACTAGAATTTTTTACAAGAATAGCAATTTGCTCATGAAAGTAAACATATTTATAATAAAGCACTGGTGTGAACTTATCCTTTGTCCACAGCAAAACTTCAATACCAGAATCCATGGAAGAAAGGATTTAGCAACTACAGGGGCACAACTATTTGGTAAATTTCTGTTGCTTCATTGCTGAGTTGCAAAAATTAATTCAAGAAATTTAAATAAACACTGAGTGGATTTTCAGATTTGCTTATCAGATTGTGAGGCAACTGATGTCAGTGCAACAGAACTGTGTGATGAATTTTAGGCTCTTTCAATGAAAGTGACTAAAATTAATCCTAAAAAGTGCATTGGAATGCTTATATAAGAACAAATTAGCATCGTTGTTTCTCAACACATCTGTTGCACAAATTCTGTTGACTTGATCCACCAATAATGCTATTGGAGAAAGAAACTTTTTCAAACTCAAATGAATTAAAACCCATCTGAGATCAACCTTGGTACCAACAAGACTAGTTGAACTGTTAACAATTTTATTTAAGAATGAAATTGCACAAAAATTGAACTTGAAGAAAGGAGAGGGTGATTTCATTTCAATGAAAACAAGAAAAGTGAGGTGTTCATGATTACAAATTTGAAATTGGCAAGGTATTTGCTTGTTAACTCTTTCTGTAACATTTATTCACAATGTATTGAATAAAAAAAGATTAAAATTTTTTTATTTGATTTGTAAAATTTGGTTTGCAACTGAATGTAAAATTGGAGGAAGAGAGGGTGGAGACAGATTTTAGATTTGCTTAAGGTATTAAAATAGCTAGAGGCAGGCCTGTTTGAAATGTAATGCACTACAGTTTCTTCTTTGGCTAATATGTGTGTATGATGAAATATTTTGATCTTATACTGAAGATACAAAATTAATTCAGTGTACCTGATTTGTAACAATATTTCTTCCATAAAATTAGGATCCAGGTGATGCTTGCAAAGTTTCTTCCAAAATAAGTAGTCTTGAAAATCTTGAAAATTTTTATTCTGTGATTAAGGATCAGTTAAAGGTTAGTATAAATGAGTTATTAATTTTGAATTATAGGAACTAAGAATATCATATTTTCAATACTAAAATTAACAATAAATTCCAAGAACTTATGAATGAAGGTGAAGAAAAATATAAACAATGTGTCAACAACATTATATCTGCTATATCCAGTGCTGAGAAGGCCTTTCACCCAGTACCAGGGCTCATTAGGCCTGCTAGGATATGACAGACATAGCAGTGGTTGAAATTTTATTTATATGAAATTGCATGAATGACAACCATTATGGTAAGTTCAGAGAAGTTTAAAATTGTATCTTATTAGATTAAATTAATTTGATTAATGAACCATTTACAAATTATAGATCAAGTAAATAAGGTGTGACATAAGAGATTACAACTATATTAAAAAATCTGTAAGGTACAGTTAAACTTTAATATCTTATTTGTATTATATTCATGCATATAATTTTGTTTCTGATGAATCATGCAATCAGTTGTGAATAATTTCATAAAGATATTTATTTTTAAGCCTATTCCTTTTGTTTTTAAACTTGAACTTTATAAAATGCCTAGGTACTAGTATGGGGGTGATATATTTTGTATCTATATTTTAGGAACAAAACCTCTTCTCTCTCTTTATTAATGTGGAAGTTAAGCTTATTCCAGTTTTGTCAGGTACTGACTTTGATTTTTAGATAATTTCAGTATTACATTTTTAATTCTTCCGTATTTGGAACTAATTTAATAATATTTAAGTGAATATAAAATAAATTTTGATTCATTATTTCATTATTAAGTTTTTCTTTTAAAATGCACTAAACAATAAGTATTACAAGCGTATGTTTTATAATTCTTAAACATTATTGGTAATTGCAATTGTTATTTAGAGTTTGAACATGTAGAGTAGATGATGAACTATTTGAAGTTGTGTATTCAGTGACCATGTTCAAACTTGCCACTTTAAGTTTTATCGAAATCGGGAAATGTGTTATAAAATAATGAATAATAATCATAGTGACTAGTCTTATAAGAATACTCAAATAACTGTAAAGTATTGTAGATAAGCCTGTTATGTCTCCAACAAAATAAGTGAAATTAATAAGTTACTTGAAATACATAACTGGCTGTCAGGTAAAATTTATATAGAAACAAATTCATTGTGAATAGTGATGGAAAACTTGTATAGTTAAAGTTTCAATTTACCATGTATGAAACTTCATCAAAATCTTATCCTCCAGTATTATATATATATATATTTTATAGCTTTGATGGTTACACTCAGACACTATTTATTGTTCTTTGTGATTAAATTTTGGTTTTGCACTCAGAATGATAATTGAAATATCATTAAAAAGAATAAACTGTGTTTGCCAAGTTTCTTTTAAAAATTTCATTCACTGATTTAACATTTATTATATTAACATCTATATAGTATATACTGTGAATATATTTTTATTTAGTGATTGATTTGCATTTTAGTGATGGAACTGAGGGGAATTAAAGTGAACAAGAACACATTTCTTGAAGAAAAGAAAATATTGCAGGTATACATTTATAGCTATCTTTAAATTTATATAAACGTAAACTAGGTTTAAAGTTGTTTTCACTGGAAGTAGCTAAATGTTGACAGTTTTGCTATATCTATGACAGATACATGATGCAAGTTTTTTTATTTCACTTAAAACAGATTATGAATATGTTTTGATAGAGATGTTGAAATCTTGTAACATTAGCCCTATTAAAGCATGGGCACAAGTCTACTGAAGTGATAGAATACAGAAGGTTGAGTATGTTTTATTAAACTGGTTATGAATGTGCATATTGCAAGCCATGTGACATTCATAGCAGATATAAAATTTTGGTTGAATTGTATGTATCAGAAGTACATTTTAACATTGTTTGACATTACATGGGTAGTGTGATGCCACCAAATATTTATCGCTTTTGGGAATGGTATGTAACCTCTTTTTGTATTCATAAATTCAGATCATAAAGATATGGTCAGAACATGGATTTAGAACTTCCATGATGGGGACATCCGTCACATTAATGGTGCATTGCAAAACAAAATAATATAGATGAGCTTGGGGTACCAGGACTGTCCAGAAAGAGACCTGTAATGAATTGTTCTCCAGTCATGGTAAGCAAATTGTAATTAGAACCCACAAACAAAAAGATTAGTGGCAAAAGCCATATCTGTGTTCCATACAACAGTACACAACATAATCAAGAAAGATATTGATTCATCAAGATAAGGCTTCTAGTCATATGTCCTGTCCAACACTGCATACCTCAAACAGCTGGAGAATGAAATGTTTATTGATACTATTCTATATGAAGACATACTGGTTAAGGTGTAGAATAACTTTCCTATGGATTTCTTTGCAATTGCATTGTTTAAATGGGTGCTGGGAAATCATCTTTATGGTACACCAGATGGAACATGGAAACCATGCAGGGAGAAGTGGTGTGCTTTAGACACAACAGAATTACAAGAGAGAGTTTTTGAAATGGAAACTAAGCTGCATAGTTATCAGATAGAGCATGATTACGTGTGGTAACATGGGTTTTATTGACATGGTGATTCTCCAAAATGCCAGGTTTTGTGAAAGTTTATGAAAAAAATAGTAATGATTGCTAGACATCATTTCACTTACGAGTCTGAGAACATTGGGGAAATACGTTTATGATTTGTTATAGTCTGTTTTCTAATAAGTTTTAGTTTAGCCATTAAGACAGTTATGAAATTATAATTTTTTTTTACTCTTAAAATGCAAACATGAACAACTCAAAATGTTGTAGTTACCAAGAATCAAGTTGTTAATCTAAGCAAAAAGTTTGTTAGAAAGTTACATTATGGTGGTATTGGTGGAAGCATTTTAAAATTGGTAGAAAACATTTTTACAAAATAAAAGATGATGACAAACAAGAATTTTACAATTGGAAGAATATTACTAGTATGTTATTGAAGAGTCTGCTATGTGTTCTTTGATTCATTATGAATATCAATCATTTAGATAATTACTTTGTCAGAAAGTTCTCTAAAGTTATACTAAAATTCTGGGTAAGGCTGTTACCATAAAAGTAATTTTTTAAATCAGAAGTATTGAAGAGACTTAATGAGTAAATAAAAACTTGGGAAATATATTTCAGCATTATGAATTGTAAGGTGATGAACTTGAAAAAAGGTTAAGTTTGATTACTGGTTAATTAAGTGTTTAGCTGTATTTAAAAAACAGACTTCTGGACTATTCTATAGATATAAACATGAATTTAGAATTAAAACCCTGATGAGGCTTCTTTTAAAATACTGCTATGTTCAGTTTTTTATCCTTGTTGAAAAGGGTGCTGGGAAGGTCTACTGAAACGTTATGTGGTTTGATAGAATAGCAATGAACACAGGTGTACAAACATACACTTGTTTTTTCTGGAGTGTAGAACAGCTTTTAATTAACTAGATTTCAAATTTTAAATTGATTGGGGTCATAAATAAACCCCCTTTAGTGATCTGAAATAATAAGATTGGAAGAACAGACTTAGATGTTAGGGGTGCAATAGTTAGAAGGCTTAAAATTCTAGATGATTTCATAACTATAATAAGGGGGAGATTTAACTGTATAACAATGGGAAAACAACTGATATTTTTGTAACATGGAGAATTAAATTAATTTTTATATTCATAAATATTTAATAAAAGCAGGAAATTAAGAATTTGCAAATTGGTTGAACATCAACATATGAACATGAATTTAAGTGTTTTTCATTAAATTTCTCTTTGTTACAAATTTGACATAAATACAAATTTGCTTTGAAAAAATGTTGATATGAATGAAAATGTTTTGTAGAAATATTGAGATTGCTTTTTTTTTTCAAATAGTGTCAGTTTGTTTGTAATTAAGCAAAAAGATACATAAGGGATTCTCTGTGTTCTACCCACCACGGGTGTCGAAATCCGGTTTGTACCATTGTACGTCTGCAGACATACCTCTGTGTCACTGGGGGGGCATGTCAGTCTGTCACATGTAATAAAATGACTTTGAAAACTATTGTAATTCACAGGAAAGAATCCAGCAGGTAGAAAAAGAAGCGTACAAGGTTGCAGGAAGGAAGTTTTCTATTAACAGCCACCCTCAGTTAAGACAAGTATGTAAAACATTTAGACTAGTTGTTTTATGTTGTATAATGATAAGTGGATTAACGAATGAAACTAGGTATGGTTAGTACTTAAAGACAGGTAAAACAAAAACAGTTTAAACATTATATTGTAGGTGCATATGTATTTAAACCAATTAGGCTATTAATACTATGCTGCTAATAATTTAGTTGCAGAGCTACATTTTTGGTTAATTGTGCCATTGTTGACACCAGCAAGAAACTTGGCATCTTTGAAGAGATAGATAAAACAATCATTTTATGATATTGTACAAAGTTGTAAAACATTATATTACCATGTGAACCAATGTTTAATTGGAAAATTATATTATCTGCAGCACCTGTTGCCAGGGGCGTGCATAGCCAGCCCAGACCCCGGGGTCAGTAATATCATTGGGCCCCCCTTTCATTCTATTTTTTAACTTTTACTGATTTTTCACAAAAGAAATATAGGTGACGAATTTCTTCATGAAAAAGCAGTAGCCATTTTAGCTCATTAAGTAGTATGCATTTCTAGTTAGCTCAACAGATTTCAGCCCCCCCATCGTGAGTTCTGCTCGTTGCTGTCATGACCCAATTATGCAATCACAGTGATCCAGATATTCACTATACAGCTTTTTAAGTGTACACAAAAATATCTCTTGATAGTAGAAGAATCTATTTTAATGATACTGTAATGATTTAAGAATACTTTTTGTGTATAACCTGGATTCCCTTAAGGAAGATAATTATCAAAGTCCATATTCTCGTTTAGAAATTTTAAATCAACTCGAATGTTATCTATGCATAAATGGTGCTGTTCAACATTAAAAAATACATATGGCATTATATAGAGATTTTTGGTTTCTTGTCTTAACACACATAATAATAATTCTGTGAAGAAGCAAAAGAATAAGCAACAAAGAGTACTTGAGGATAGAGCATTCATGCAGTCTCATTTACAGAACTGGTCCCAGACATTTGTCATTTTAATCTCTTGCACATCATTAATTATGCAGGTAAAGAAGCCATTACACATTTGCAACAACCACAGTGTACAGATTTGTAATGTGTTTTGGCAGCCTCTGGGAGAGTAGTTCATTTAGCTGAAGTTTCCTATTGAAAAGGATCCGTCCCCTGTCAGTAGGGTTTAGAAACATTGGAATCACCACCATGGATTGTCCCCATGTATTCTCCCCTTGATAAGTTACCCAACAGATACACTTTACCAGTACACCCTGGTTTGGTGGTATTCCTTGGCCCTTCTTAGTGAACAAATGCTTTTGGGCATCACCCATCTGCAAAATTAGGAAGAACTTTGCAATTCCACCATCTTCACCTAAGTAGGCTAAGTTCAAAGTCATAGGCAACCTATGAGCCTTAGCAAGCCCATGCAGATTGTCTTCTGTCATTCTGTAAACTGCATCACATTCCTTTCCTTTGGACTTTGCAGGACACTGGTAATATTTTCTGTGATGACCCTGTGAAAGGACTGTCTCTTTTCACCTCATATTTCTTGGGATGTTTTTTTCATTTTTTGTAAGTACCAGATAATGAATATATTCCACTGCTTCATTTTTTGTTTACTGTGAGAAATAAGAAAGAAAATACATACTGAAACAAATGGTAAATATGTAGATTTACATAGTATTTTATAACAAATGGTCCTATAGTTTATTAGAAATGATACTATGTCAGAAATTAATCAGCTTGACTGTGCCTATTACCCTGCAATCTACAAAGTGTCACATTTGTATTCAAATGTATACAATTTTCCAGCTATCCCACTGGAGTTAAAATTATTGTACATGTTTTTTCATTATTATAAGCTAATAGATAAAAATACATATAATTATTTTTGTTATTAAGTCTGATATAGACTTAGCATTGCCTGGCTGTTAGGGCATTTGATTCACAATCTGCAGGTTACAGGATTAATATCTATTCCCAAATATGTTTGCTCTTTTTTTTGTAAAATAGTGGTCAATCCCCTTATTCATTGGTAAAGAGTAACCCAAGAGTAAGCAGTTGGTGTTTTTGACTAACTGCCTTTCCTCTAATCTACCACTTCAAAATTAAGAATGGCTAGAGTAGGTAGCCCTTTAGTAGATTTTCAACAAAGAATAAAGAAATTAGTTTGATATATAAGATTTTTGTCTCTTTATTGGCAAGGCATAGCTATTACGGTTTTTTTCAAATTCGATACTTTGAGTTTTAAAAGAAGAATAAACAGGTTTATATTTTTACCCTCGACCCCAGAGAGGGGACAAGGGTATTGCTTTCGGGTTTGATCATTTTTGTAGTGTGATAAGGAGTCTCTACCTTAATGTTCCAATGAAATCTGATACAAATCCAATCACACTTTACAAAGTTATTAACCCAAACTGCAAGTATGCCCTATCTCCTCATTATAAAAAATGCTTCAAAGTGATCTAGAATCCAACTCCTGATCCAGACCAAATTTTGCGAGGACTGACCCATACTGCCTATCTTATCTAAAATTTTCGTGTACATCAATCTATTAGTTTTCAAGATACACGTGCGGAAACAGACACACACACACACACACACCGGATCATTGATCATCTTGTATCTGAGAAGGATTTTCTGAGTTTTTAAAGGTGAAATTTCATGTTATCTAATATAAATGCATGCAATCTCGAAAAGGAGTGGTAGGACGAGGGTATGCAATCTCTCTGATTGCTCTTGTTAGTAGATGTTTTGGATTAGTGTGAAAATAATCTCATTTTAGCTATCAATGTTTGATGTTGATAACTTTCAAAGTATGTACATCATGAAATTGCTATTGAACTTGCATGGTATAATTTTTGAATTGTTATGATTGTATTAATTGTTCATATTTATAATTTATGTTGAATCAGAAGGTAATATTTTGTTCCTTTATTTTTGGAGCTGAATATATATAGTGAAAGTTTGAAAGTTTTTCAACTTTGAATGTGCAAAAAGTTCTACGATTATTATCACTAAAGTAGTAAATCATATGTGCAATGATGAGAAATTAAACATAATGCCTTAATTTTCTCAAAAAATATTTAATTAAAACATTTAAAATTGCAGTGTGATAGAATGAGGAATAACTATATAAAAATAATTCCCATTCCTTTTGATTGTTTAACATACGTATATTGAGAACTAATGTATTATATCATGTTTTACAAATGAATGACTTTTTTTAAAACTATTCCATTTTCATGTCAGGTTTTGTTTGATGAGTTAAAACTAGACAGTAAATTACAGAAGATTACTTTGACAACTGTGAACAATCTTAAATCAACATGTGAAGCAGTGGTAAGTAATTTTATGTTCTCATACAGTTCATTGGTGTAGAAAGTTATCTATTTAAACAACCTTATTCTCTTCTAGTGAAATGGTATATGATGTTACCTATTTCTTTGTATTTTATCCTTCTTTCTGTGTATTCCAGTATGATGTATATAGAAAATATCACCTCCTTATTCCAAAATTCTGATCAAGTAATCTTATTTACTTGGGTCCATGTGTCATTAGTTACTGCTCCTCAGAAGTACTTGTGATTTGCCTCAGTAGTCACTATATTCAAAGAGAAATATTTTTATGTATGGATTGTATGTTAATGTTTAACACACATACTTGAGTGATCCAAATATTACATTGATGCAGTATATGTAACTTTCTTATCTCTCTCAGTTATTTACTCTTTATTTTTAGTAATTCAGTTAGCATGGAAGTTTTATGTTTGCATTTTTCTGTTATGTATCTTTTGCATATATACTTGTTAATTCTACTTGTAGTTGATTATCAGGTTTGGTTAGTATGTACACAAATCTAGAATAAAGCACATAGTATAATAAGTTTATTATGATACCTTACCAGCTGGAAGCATTAAAGGATTACCACCCACTGCCTCAGTTAATTCTGGAATATCGACATGTAAGTTGTTTGACATTTGTGATATTAATACTAGTGGATTTTCAAACATTTTCTTTCCAAGATTTTACAGTTCACTCTGTAATAAACATAAGTAGTGTCAGTATGTAAGTGTATGATGTTTTAACTGTTTACACAGGCTCTGTCCACTGGAGAATTAATAATTACTGTAATTCCAAATGTACTTTATGTATCTTAATGACATTTGGCAGTTATTTAATAAACGTAAAAAGTATGTTGAACACAAAATCAAGTTTTTTAATAAAGTATTTCTGCAAAACATTTGTCTGAGAATTTACTGAACCAGTCTACATGAAAGTGAATTTTGTGAGAGGAATAAAAATACTTATCTTCCTTTTAAGTTGTTCATATTTCATTTGCATAACCTCTGGGACCTCCTAAATGAATATCAAAAGTTCTTTTTCTGTAACATTGTATATTTTTCTACACAAACAGAGCCTTTAGAGACATTATCCAAGTATAATCAAAAGAATGGTTGAAAACATGAAATAAATTGCAGCAACACACTTATTTACTTTCCTATGTTAATTGTGAAGTTATAGCTTATTTATATTCACAGTTTAAACCTTTATTCTTTTAGTGAACGTTTTATATTTTGTTTTTGTTTTGTCATATCGAGCAGTAATACCCCCTAACGATAAATCAATAAATCAAAGCACATTCAAAATTTGAAAAACTTTCACTATATATTCAGCTCCAAAGGTAAAGGAACAAAATATTACCTTCTGATTAAAAATAAATGATAGATATGAAAATAATAACTATTGGAACAATTAATACACTGGCAAACTGTAACATCAGCTCTGAAAACCATGTAAACACATGAAGCTCTTAGTTATATCTCAATAAAGGAATAAGCTTGGAGGTAAATTTTTAGTATGGTTTGCAGTATCTATAGTATAAGTAATTTGTAAGAAACTCAGAAGATTGGGGGGTAGAAGGAAAAATTTAAAATGGGCAATTTGGTGCACATATTTAGTAGACAAATTTATAATTAAATGCTAAAGCTAGCCTACAAAGTACAAATATGTAACTAGCATAATAGTATTTTGTCAAATACAATGACATTTCAATTACCATATATTACATATGTATATATTTATATATGTTGGTACTATATACTCATAAATGCTTAAGCTTTAGTTATTTTTGTTAAAACATATAACAGTAAATTAAAAAGTATACATAACAGACAATGATCTCTAGTACTTATGATGCTTGAAATCCATTTGTACCCAAGAGACATGGTCGCTAAACCTGTGCTCAATGATTGCCTCAAATTGAGGTGAACACAAATTAATTTGTAAAAATTTTAAATATGCATTTTAGAAGAAAAATTATTATTCATTAGAATAGAACATCACAAAACTACTATAATTGACCTATCTTTATAACTAAAGTATAAGTAGGTTAAGCAAATTCATGATGATGACAAAACCTTGTTGAAACATTGTACATCTGCTGTTTTGTTAAACTTATATTAAAGTTTTTCTTCATTACCCATTCAAGCCGTCTCCAAGCATTATTAAATTCATTTCTATTTAGAGTAATGATTTACTTACCACAATTCAACATTTCCTAGTGAATTTCAGCTTTTCTCAACATAAAACTGACAGACAACCATCAACTTTGCATGGTTCAGAATCTACCCTTTCAATTTGTTATAAACATGTACTTAAGACAGGTAGGGGCTTGAGTAAATAAATGGCTTCAAAATAATAAAAGGATGGAAGGGGCTTCTCTGGTAGGTTTGCTAAATATATTGATATCTCAGAAAGTAAAGAAGTTGGGAGGTTCTTATTTCATATCCTAGCTTTTCAATATGTGAAGTTTGAATTTTAATTGTTTAGACACTGTTGACATTGTACAGTAGAAGTAATGAAATGTAAATTGAACAACTTGTAGTGCAGATATGTCATGTGGCATACAAGAGTGAGTATTTGAGCACACTTTTAAATATTTTCTTTTGAATTAAGAAATTAAATCATATATAATATTGAAATATGAGTTATTAACTATGTTTTGATGCCAAGTTGATTGATCTACATTGATAATAAAATAGCATAATCAATTTTGAGTGTAACTCTGTAATGTAAAAAGTTGGGACATGCACATTTTGATCCCACCTTTGCACATAGGATTGAACCTGCCAACTATTAGCTAACAATTTTTTGTGATACAACATCATGTGGAGCTAAAGAAAATAACATAATAGTCTTTTAGGAATTAGTATAAACCTGTTAACTTTTAATATTATTTCAGATTTTTCATACTGAAAGTTTTTCATGTATTCTTTGAACAAAAGTTATGATTGTAATTAAAGATCTCTGATCAAAACTTGTTATATAAGTCTTGTTACTGGAATTAAAGCTGGGATAACCAGAGATTGTGCTTATTTTTCTCATGAGTTCTATTGTTTGCATGAATCTGAACTTTTATTATTGTGTGTGTGTGTGTGTGTGTAAAAATGTTGGTATTGTTTGAATTGGTTTTGAAATGTTGTAGTAGTTTATAGTAAAATATTTTTACTAATATACATTCAATTAGCAATCTTCAGGTCAGAAAATAATTATATTATTGAGGTAAACTAATCATATTATTTCATTTATGGTGTAGGTATAGAACTTTAATTTTGGTATTTTAATATACTGATATATTTGATGTTTTTTTCATCAGCTTGTTAAAGTGAAGTCAACTTATGTTGATGGATTAATCACTCACATTCAAAACGTAAGTTTAGATATCTTTATTTCACTAGACTTGGAATGAAATATGCAGAAGTGTGTAAATCTACAATACATAATAGATTTTGTATATACAATGTGCAACAATTGTTTCTGTTGGTTAGTTTCTTAATTTCTGTTGTACACTAAAGACAGACTGTTTATTATGAATATTTTATAGAATAGGTAATATATGTATTTTTTTATATAGAAGCTGTTAATTTACTTTGTGTTACCTACAAAAGATTTATTTTCTATACTTCAATAAATCTGAAATATTTACATAGGAAAACAATGTCTGTTGAATTAATTCAGGTAATTAAATGCAGAATTCAAGTATCTTAAACTTGTAATTTATTTCTTTGCAGGGCCTTCTTTGTACAACATGGTAAGACCTGCTTTCATATATTTTTTCTCTGTTTTCTCATCACTTAACTTTCATTTTACTGGTTTTATAGCAAAGAAGCCACTTTTCAGATACTATTAATTCAAATCATTTCTTTCTATACTTTTTTTGTGTATAGATCACAACAGCTTATGAATAAAACCTCTACTGAATATCACATATTATGTACAATATATGTGTGCTTGTATTTATATTGTAATATTTTATGTTTGCTATGATTTGTGGTACTAATATAAAGTAGCAGAAAAGCAGTTGTGGAAATGGATAGATAACTTGTGTAATTAAGGATAATAATGAAATTATGTGGTTGACTTTCCTTGACACACAAAAAAAAGAAAAATCCATATGAAAATATAGGAATTGTTACATAAACAATTTTTCCTTATTTTGCAACAACATGCTGGTGGTATTAGTATTTTTTTGTTTCTTACCATGAAAACGATTTTTATTTTACAAGAAATGCTAATTTTCTCTTAAATTGTCAACTGTTGTTGTCAACTAGTGAAAGTTTTCAGTTATGCATGAAATAGGGGTATGTTTTGCATTAAGAACCAGTGTATAATTATAAAATAAGTTACAAGTTTTTCTGTATCAAACTTGTTTTTATTACTTAAACTAGTGTATAACCCATCAAAAATGATGGGGCAAGTACTACCACCCCCACCCCATAGTATACCCTAACCTCACATTTCATAGCTTACCGAAATAAATAAATTTTGCAAAATCAAGCTTGACCAACAAAGAGGCAGAAAACTGCAGTCAAGGCAGACAAACTTGGTAAATTATTTTGTGAGCCAATCAAAATTAAGATCATTCATGAAATGAATTCATGGCATATTCATAGA